TTCCCAATGTATTCTGTTATCCAACATTCATAGTTCCTCTTTATTATTATTATTAGTCCCTTGGGTTCCTAGTGGAACATAGGGCTTCAGTAGCACGTCTCCAGTGACCTCTGTTCTCTGAGATCTTCCGTGACGCGCCAAGTCTCTGAACCATACAGAAGCATTGACTTGACGTTGGTGTTGAATATCCGGATCTTGTTCCGCATGCTGAGTGAAGTAAAGTAGATCTCCACACTGGTTTCAGGCTAATGAACACCTGTCTTGCTTTTCCGATTCTGACTTTGACATCCTCGTCTGTGCCTATGGCGCCTGTAGTTGAAACAGTGCTTCCCAGATAGGTGAAGGAGGTTACTTCCTTTATGTTTCTCCCGTTGACGGTGATTGGAGTTTGTTGTTGTTGTTGAAGTTGTTGGTGCGGTATCTTCATCACCTCTGTCTTCTCTATATTCACTTGAAGTCCCATCTTCGCTGCTTCTTCTATCAACTCGTTGGTTTTTGCCTGCAGATCTTCAAGCTTATGTGACATCAGACACAAGTCATTGGCGAAATCAAAGTCTTCTAGGTTCTTTTTCCCTATCCAGCCAGTGTATCCCCCTCTTCTCGCTCCTCACTGTTTGCTGCATGATCCAGTCGACCACAATCAGGAATATCATGGGTGATAGTAGACAACCTTGTTTCACTCCTGTCTTCACTTCACTTCAAAGGAGTCACTGAGTAGGTTTCCAATGTGAAATACTTGACATGTGGCATCTTCATATAGTTGTTGAATGAGGCGGATAAAGGTTTGCGGTACTCCGTAGTAGTGAAGCAGTTTCCAAATTACTTCTCGGTCGACGCTGCCAAAGGCCTTCTCAAAGTCGATGAAGTTTAGGTAGAGAGCTGATTGTCATTCTGTGTTCTGTTCTATGATGATGCGAAGTGTTGCAATTTGGTCTGCACATGATTTGTACTTCCTGAAGCCTGCCTGCCTGTTCCGATCGTAGTTTTGAATCCAGTGCATCCTTTAGCCCCTCCAGGATGATGCGGCTTAATATTTTGCTTGCTCTGGGTGGACAGGAGAGTGATTCCGCGCCAGTTCTTGCAAACACTGAGGTCTCCCTTCTTCGGCAGTTTGACAAGGTAACCCTTCTTCCAATCAACTGGCAGGTACCTTCTCTTCCTTCCACACCTTCTGCAATAGTGGTGTGAGCATGTCGGCTGTTGTCTCTGCGTCTGTTCTCAGTGCTTCTGGCGGTATTCCATCTGGTCCTGCTGCTTTCCCGCATTTCAGTAGCTTTATGGCGTTCAGGACTTCCATTTTCGTTGGAGGATTTATGTTCACTTGTAATTCAGCGGCTGCAGTTGGTATTTCTGGACGAAGTGCAGGTGATGGTCGATTCAAGAGCTTTTTGTAGTGGTCGGCCCATTGTTTCCTCTGTTTCTCTTCTTTCGTAATTAAATTTCCTTCTTCATCTTTTATTGGTTTCATCTGTGTTTCATCTCTTCCCTGATAGCAACCTGGTTATTTGATACAATGTTGTCAGGTCTCTCTTACCTGCAGCCTGTTCTGCTTCACTTGCCAGTGTTTCGTAGAAGTGTCTTTTGTCTTTGCATGCACTCTTCTTCACTTCTTTATCCAGTGTTTTATACATTGTACTCAGTTCCTCTTGTCATTGAGCATCCATGCACTGGTTTATCTTCTGCTTCACCATCCTCCTCTCCCTCCTCTGTCAGCTTCTATGTATCCGTCGAGATCCATTCCTTGTCTTCTTTCTTCTTCCTACCTAATACTGTTATGCAGGTTTCTTTCCATGTAGCTTTCAAAGACTTCCAGTGTTCTTCCACACAGGTTTCTTCAGGGATGTTCCTCGATATCTCTCATTTTGTCTTGATGGTTGACTGCCGTGAAGATTTCCTTTGTAGTTTCATCCTTCAGTTTCCGAGTGTTGTACTTGAATTGAGGTCTATCACCAGCTTCCTTGAAGGCTTTTAACTTGATTTGGAAGATTCCTTGCACTAGATGGTGAGTGGTCTGAACCTACATATGCTCCCCTTCTTGACCTTGTGTTAAGTAGACTGCGTCTCCATTTTCTTCACATTGAGATAAAGTCGATTTGATTTTTAGTGTGTCCATCTGGTGAAATCCATGTCGCTTTGTGGATATCTTTATGCTTGAACACACTGCCTCCAATCACCAAATCGTTGAGTGCACAGAATTCTGCAAACAATTCTCCATTCTCGTTCATTTCACCGAGCGCTTCTCGACCCATGGTTAGTTCTCTTCCTGTGTTGTCCCCTCTCAGTTTGGCATTCATGTCGCCCATTAGAATTTTGATATCGCCAACTGACGTCTTGTCCAGTGTTGATTGAAGTTGTCTGTAGAATTCCTCCTTTTTCTCTTCATCTGCATTATTTGTAGGTGCATAACATTGTATGATTGTGACCTTTCTTCCTTTTGAGTTGAATCTTGCTGTCATGATCCTGGAGGAGATTGGTTCCCACTGCATGAGAGCCTTCGATGCTCTTGAGGACATCATGATAGCCACTCCAGAACTCGGTGTGCTCGTGGTTGTCGTCTGGGTGACCGGAGTAGATTACTGTCTCTGCAGTTGACAGTTTGGAGAGTCCACTCCCATTCCATCTGCTTTCGCAAATTCTAAGCACTTCGATGTGATACCTTCTCATCTCCTTTGCAATCTGGGCTGCCTTACTGGGTTCAAACATCGTACGGACATTCCATGTCCCCACGTTTACTTTCGCTTTCATCGAGAGAAGACACATCGGCCAATTGGCTTCCCGAAGTCAGGCTTTCACCAACTGGCGTCATTTCGCCTCTCCGATTCCAGCGGGGAATAAGTTCGTTTTCATTTTTTATATTTTGTTTGTGCTTTGAAGTTTCTTTAGCGGTTAGATTTGTTTTAGGGGGTAGGGTTGCTAGCCCTATGCCCAACCTTCCCTCTTTACCCGGGCTTAGGACCGGCTAGTAACTAGTGAACTAGTTAACCAGGCGAGGTTTAGTTCCTCTTTATTATTTTCTAATTCATAAGTGAATTGGATTACGTTGCCTACAGAGTGATAAAAATGGAGTTGACTTAGTTTTTTATATTATTTCTTAACAAATACCAATGAAAACCCTCCTCTTATTGATTTCACTAGGGAATTTTTGATCTTTCAAGGCACTACACATGAGGTCAGTTAAGGAGTATCTTTAGTAATCTGATCTTGGAGATTTTATTTATCGTTTATTTGTCCCTTGAGTTCCTAGTGGAACATAGGGCTTCAGTAACACGCCTCCATTACACTTTGTTCTCTACAGTATTTTCTCCTGGTTCCACAACTACCCACACGATTTTATTTCTTCTTCACACGACCTCCTCTATCTCACCCTGGGGCTCAGATGCCCAACTCGTCGTTTCCCATCTTGGTCCCACTGCAGGGTCTGGAGCGAAGGCTAAATTAAAAGTGAAACGAAAGTAAATTTATTGTTTAAAACGTTTTAATTTTTACAAAATTTGAGCATTTTTCTTCAGTACCAATATGTCGTAACCAATATACTGAGCATAGACTTAAGAATGTAAATTTTATGGTGTAAAATTCTTACATTTTTGAAAAGGGAAACAGCCATTAATGTTAGTTCATGATGAATATCAACTTGAAAAAAATTCTAAATCCCCACAAACCCCTTAAAATTTCAGTTGAACTAGTGCTCATTGGTGACTAGCTTCGAGAGATGATTCCTGGAGTTCCAATGAGAAGTAGTGACCATTGGGGCATAGTTAGTGTCCTTGAGAAGAAATACTCAACAGTGACATTGGATGGTGGTCGTACTAAGTTTTGAAGTGAAATATGGACCACTGGATTCTGACCGAGTGGGTCAATGGTAACATGCGAGCCACGGAACCTGAAGGTCGCGGGTTCAATCTTGGGGATAGGGGGTCCCGGGTGCTAACTGTTGAAGATTTCTATACTAGAACTAAGCAGCTGTCCAGTGCTCTCAAAGTTTCAGTGCTCCTCCAACTGATTCCAGTCTCTAATGGATACCAATAAAATGGATCTATTGTATTTCGATGGGATCATGTCAAGCGATTACAACTTACAATATTGTAATATACAGTTTTACTGAGAATTGAACATACTTTAATTCACTGGAAGAGGACAGAATAACAGTCATTAGTTAAAACTAAAATAAATAGTCATAGAGGAGTAAAAGTCAATCATAACGATAAATTTAGGAAAGTTGATTAAATGATAAAAACTTGGCACAATTATACACAGAATTCGATGAAAATTTCTTGAATAAAACCGAAGATATGAGTAGACTCTACGCCTGAAGTTTGCTAAGGCATTAATCTCTACTATGGCAATCCTCCTTGAAAATTAGTTCACTATATCATCCTTCTATAATATTCTGAGTGCTACTTTTATTTGAGAAACTTCCATTGCATTATGTACATGATAACTGTTTATTAACGCTCCTTGAATTTTATGTTATGATGGACCTTTCCTCTATGATTCTTTTTGTTCGTCTTAACCACTGACTGATATTCTACTTTCATTATAGGTATTGAATATCACCACCGAAATAGAATAAGTTCATTTCATTCTGCTTCTCCTATTGTTCTTCTCAGCAGTGGGCATCCATGACCTCACACCATAATCATCGAACCCGTGACTTTCAGGTTCCATGGCAAGTAGGTTACCATTGACTAACTGGGTTGGAATCCAATGATGTACACTTCCAACTCCTATCACTTCACAATATAGCGCAACCGCCAACTAATGTCATCGTTAAATATTTATTCTCACAGCCACCAAGTCTGACAGACTGGTAACGACTTTTTAATGAAACTTCAGGAATTATCTCTCGAAGTCAGTCACCAAGGATCAATAGTTCAATTGAATTTGGGGATTTCAAGGGATTTAGAGATTCATAAAAATGAAAATTCATGTTTGAAATTTTCCGCTTTTTTTCCAGTGATAGTTACTTTAGGGAAAATTGATACTTTATCAATGTTCAAGTGATGATTTTGATCAATTTTCAATGTAGATTTTTTAAAAAAAGTTATTTCTTCTATTATTTAGCATCATTATTGAAAATCGCAAAATTTTCTGGTCATGGTTTTATTTTAAACAAATTAACAAATCGACCAATTACAAGTACAGAGGAAAGAATTGAAATTGAATTTCAAACGGAACAATCTAATTCAAGTCTATTCTTTGCAGGTAAAAATTTGTTTAAATGAATCAATTTTTACAGAAGGCACATTTAAAATTTATACCGTGTACTTGATTATTTATTATTAATGTAATTTTGATTTGTGATGGCAATAAGTTGAACTAATTCTAAATAGCAGGGCACAGACGAAGACGTCAAAGCCGGATAGGATCGGAAAGATAGTAAGTCAGGCCTGCCTTCATTAACCTGAAATCAGTGTGGAGATCTGTTTCACTGCATTCAGCATAAAGTGTAAACAACATCAGGATTTTCAACACCAATGTCAGTCAAGTAAGTCAGTACTTGTATGTGACGGTTGAGAGACTTAGCGTGTTACAAATAGCATTTCCAACAAACTACAGACATTCATCAACAAATGCCATCTACACTGGCTCGATACTGAAGATCAGATGGCCAGAATGATAGAAATGAGCAACAAGGAACTGTGTCTGGCTGGCTGTCAACGAAGCAACGAAGCAAGAAGCTATCACTCAACAAATATGCACTGGAAGGAGGAAGTGGAGATGGATTGGACTGGATTGGGATGTGCATGCACTGAGAAGACCATTAGAGGACATCACGAGTCGGTCAGGTAGTCGAGTGGAACACAGATGGGAAATGACGAGTTGGGTGTCTGAGGTGAGGATGACATGGAGGAGATGGTGTGAGGAGGAAATGAGAGGTTGTGGGCATTCGTGGAGCCATGTTGAAAAGATTTCAGAGAAGAGAGTGTAATAGAGACGTGCTACTGAAGCCGTATGTTCGACTAGGAGCCCAAGGGACAAATAAGAATAATAAATTCTAAATAAAACTAGACTTTCATTGGTAGCCATCACCAAGTAAACTGCTGACTGAGATGGACCCATTCTTTGTAGAATAATAACGGGAAATAACAACTTTCAATGAATATACCAGATTCTCTATTGACTAAATGTCTATTAATGTATGGAACATGTAACTGTAAACTTTACTTACTGTTGTAGTAAATGAGAAGACGGAGACGAATGAAGGAATGTTTACTATTGGCATCTTATATAGTAGTGCTGAAATGTACAATTTCCACTAAAGTAATCATTTGTATAATGTGCTTCATTTTTTCTTCTACTCCTACCTTGATTTGCTCTTAATACTCCCATATTGTCTCTTACTTTTCTCTGGGCAGAATCCTTACCGTCTGCTGGTGATTCCGTATGATTTCTGCCACCCTGACAACATATGCCACTTATATCCATTCTGATCCACCCAACTAACTTTTTCATGCTGTCGCTCAATGTCACCTGATTGTGTAATCATAAGTAACTGTGTGAGGAGCTTTAGCCGAGCTTCTCTCTACATTTCTTATCTTATTAGGATCTACTAATCTTCATTTAACTAAGCTTATATCTTCTGCTACTCTAATCAACCACGGCTGGTCAACTACTTCGACTTATGTATTTAACCTCACAATCATTTCAAGGTATTCCATAAACCAGATTGGTTTGCTTCATTGCATTAAGAGGATCTTTTATCCAACAAACATAATTTGTAAGCCAGTTTGTTGGTTTAAATGCCAGCCAGTTTGATCCCTGCCAGCCTTATCGAGAATTCTTGGTAATGCTTCTAAGGCTTCGAACTCTCTCTCAATCCCGTCACCATTATTACCATTAGTAGTAGAATTATTATTAATAACACCTGAATTACTGCTGTTAATATTTTACCTTCGATTTCTTATGAATTTATTTGTAAATTTTGGTGGGTAATTATTGAGACATAAAGTATTCTTCTCATAGATTTTCTGGCCTATCACATGGTCATTTAACTAAGCCTACAGTAACTGAGATGAGGTGGGAGGATTTGAAGTCTGAATAGCGTAGTGATTCGAATGAGAAGGTTTCCTATAGACACTAGTCTGTAAACTTCCATCTTGTGTTCGTTCGATCATGCAATCCAACATGGATAGTTCACATGCATCACTTCGTTAGTCATGGGTTATTTGGTTTGCTTGCATTCACTACTGACTTCATATGTGTCAATAACCTGTTGATGTGTTCTGATTTCAGTACTGTAAACTTATCATCTACATATGGGAAGGATATCTCTAGAGTAGGACTAAGTTTTTGAAGGGTCATATGTTGACAACCATTCAAAAATATGTCTACGAGGATAGGGGATATTGTTGATGCCATGCCAACAACTTCTGTTTGTTTATATATTTCATTTTGGAATTCAAGATTTGTAGATATTAGGCATAATCGTACTCCTAGCATTACTTCGTCGATCACCACCTTAGCTCGATGTGTAAGATGATTGTCATCCTTAAGCCCACTTGTAGCTGCCTCTACCACAGTGTCCAAGTTGTACTCCTATACTGATGACACGTTGAACGTTTATGATCGACTGCTTAGATGATGATCTTGAAGGGATGAGTCATGTCAGCGACATATTAATAGATGTAATATGATCTGAAAATATTTCTTCAGAATATGTAGGCAGACAATCTTGGGATTTTGTGTCCAGCGAAGCAAGTTGGCACACCCTGTATGAATGAGTACATGAAGCAAGAATGCACTGAGATGAAAGCCAAGAAATGAAGAAGTAGTCAGTAAGTAGAAGAAAGTCATGAATAGTGAGCAAGATGGGATGATAGAATACTGAAATGTGTAGATACATTTTCTCCATTGTCATCGATTATTAGCCATTTGACCTATAGTCTCGAGCCATTCTGATCAGCAGCTCAGACTACACTTACTCTGTTAATCGTATTGCAGTTTCTATGGAAATTGAATTATTATTATGTAAGTAGAAATCGGTTGGTATTTTTTTTTTCAAACAGAAAACTAGGAAACCGATTGCGCGATGTCATTCGAAATGTTTCTACCGGAAATTGTACACTTTCAAGTAACAATCCTTTGACAAAAGATAAATGATAAGAATTGTTGGCAAACAAGAGGAAATAATCAATTATTACCTATTTGATAGAGGTTACTTACTTTGTACTTTGGTAGCTGTATACTTCAACGTTTTGTTTGCATACAACATAACAAGTATTGTAGACAACAGTATATAGGTGAACATTACCTATACAGTATAATTTTCGATAGCTTTAAAGTATGAAATAAGTTAGTTGGCAATATTTTAGGTGACGGATCAGAAAAAAATCTTTAACATCAATGAATGAAAATTTTTTGCACTTGATGAACATGTTTTCCAAGTTTAATTTATTGATAACAAGTAATCGTATAGTATCACTTCAAAACTTGATTACTTCGAGATTGATGCCAATAAAGTGTACAATGCAACATTTCTGTTGATTCGAAGTAAAATTCTCATCTCTGAAATGTACCCATTCGGATATAAAAGAAGAGGAAATAGTCCAGCGAAGAGTCTCTCTACGGGGATTTCATTTACATCACAAATTTATACACTTTTCTAGTCTAACAATGTGATAGTTAACAAACGGTTTGTTAAGTATAGTAGGCAACACAAATAGTGTCTGTATATGAACTGTCATTAAGATTAAAAAAACCAAGAACCTGTAATGAATAGTGAATATTAATGAAAATACATTTGAACAAGAAGTATTGTAACATGATGACATAATTGGAAAGTGGATTGTGATCACGCAGAGCATAGCAAATTATTTAACAAGTGAATGGTATGAAAAAGAAGGTGAGAGGTGATTTCAATGACTGGAAATTAAGAGCATGAAAGGAGAAGAGATTGAGTAATCTTCTTTTGTATACATAGTTCAAGTTTCTCTATATGGATGGCAAGAGCTTCAGTGATGTGGAGAATACGAAGACAAACAGCCATTGGGAGGTTTCTTTTCACTTCATAGATGACTTTGAATGAGAAGGTTCTTAAGATGATGTGATTTGTGTTCACGATGTGTTGAATTGTAGCACTCCTTATCGCTTCACTGTTACCTCTACAACTATGCGGTATGATAGTGCTCTTGAACATTCTTGGATATCAGTCGCATCGATCAACCTATATATCTGGGTCCACAACAGTAAGTGGATTGATATATCCACATAGATGTGGTCAGATGAGAAAGTTTTCGTTTTGAGTTATTGGAAATTGTTGGGCGACAGGAGAATAGTAGTCTCAGCGTTGATGTAGAGAATGTTCCCCCTAGAGCGTTTGATATCCTCAACAGAATCACCTTTGTAGTTTAGATTCATATAGAGTATGTTTTTTTGGCACGGTAGTAAGGTACTCTTCGCGTGGTTTAGGTTTGATGCTTTTGTCAATGAAGCGTAGTGTGTATCCGTTTTCGAACCATTTTCAGTGCGACTCGCAGCCGACGAATCCGTCGTCCCATTGTGTTAGAATAAGAAATTTCCGATCTAAAGAACATTCTGATTCAAGAGAAATTTTCATCATGCTTCACATACTCTATATGAATCTAAACTACAAAGGTGATTCTGTTGAGGATATCAAACGCTCTAGGGGGAACATTCTCTACATCAACGCTGAGACTACTATTCTCCTGTCGCCCAACAATTTCCAATAACTCAAAACGAAAACTTTCTCATCTGACCACATCTATGTGGATATATCAATCCACTTACTGTTGTGGACCCAGATATATAGGTTGATCGATGCGACTGATATCCAAGAATGTTCAAGAGCACTATCATACCGCATAGTTGTAGAGGTAACAGTGAAGCGATAAGGAGTGCTACAATTCAACACATCGTGAACACAAATCACATCATCTTAAGAACCTTCTCATTCAAAGTCATCTATGAAGTGAAAAGAAACCTCCCAATGGCTGTTTGTCTTCGTATTCTCCACATCACTGAAGCTCTTGCCATCCATATAGAGAAACTTGAACTATGTATACAAAAGAAGATTACTCAATCTCTTCTCCTTTCATGCTCTTAATTTCCAGTCATTGAAATCACCTCTCACCTTCTTTTTCATACCATTCACTTGTTAAATAATTTGCTATGCTCTGCGTGATCACAATCCACTTTCCAATTATGTCATCATGTTACAATACTTCTTGTTCAAATGTATTTTC